CCAAAGCTCCCCAGGGCCACGCTCTCGACTTCAATGCTGACGCCGGCTTCCTGGTGTCATGCTGAGAGGAGGAAAAGACAGGTGAGCCACACAGAAGGCATGCTGCCCACACCGGGCTGGGCCTCTGCATCTCCCCACCCCACCAGCTTCCAGGAGGGCGTTTTGCCCTGTGCCTCGGGGTGTTTCTTTGCTTGATCATTTCTCAGAGACAAAAGCTGTGCACCTTGCCTGTGATAATTAAACGTCAGATTTGTAAGCTTAGCTCCAATGACAATCTCAGGTATTAATAAAATGAGGTTCATTCATTCCCCAATTCTAAAGACATACATAAAACATTCTTTTAAAAACTTGAGAACACAAAAAGGAAATAGAACCATATAATCAAGCATCCCTGATTTCCTATATGATCCCCTCAAAAACCAAAACCAAGGAAATCTTCTCAACACAAACTTTGGACTTTTTGCTGAGTTGCTGACTCTACTGTGGTGGTTTATGTTTGTCTTTTCTTATGTCCTGTGTGTCCCCCCCAACCCCTAGTAGTTGCTGTCTCCATATCTTGGTTTCATTGTCCTCAAAGCAGATCGTAGCTGTGCTCTCAAGCACATCTCAACTTTATCCTCAAATCCACAGGATCCACTGAGGAACCGGCTTCTACTTCTGAGAACTAACCACCCTCTGAATAAGGAGTCTGGTCTTCCTTCGAGATCACTGCTAACACAGCCAGATGAGAAAACACATAATTCAGTATAGAACACACAGTCCTGACCCAAGGAAGCAACAACTACTTCTTTTAAATGCATTTTATTATTAACAACATCCTGTGCCCAGACGATGTCCCCCCACTCTGGGAGGAGAAGTCAGGCGGATGGCAGAATGCACAGGTCAGATTTGCAGAGGAGATTCTCTGGCCTCCAAAGGAGAGTTTATGGATCTTAGTCTTTGGGGTGGGGATGACCAATGTGGTGAGAAGCGCCACAGGTCAGCTTCTTGTTACCTACGGCGCCAAGACGCTTGCCATAATTTCACTGGCATAGATCTAACAAGTTCAGTGCCCAACTGCTGTCAAATCAAGATTACTGTGGTAATCTTAGATTTTAAAATGGAAAAGCTGAGCCTGAGAAAACTGTGAGGAAAAGGGTATGTAGACTGCTTCTAAAGAAATGCTCAAACTACCCCAAGCAAAGGACAATGAGCACAAAGTCAGAGCTTAATTGAGGATTGGTCACTTGACTAAAATGCGAGCATTTTAATAATCAGCACTCATCTAAGTTATTTGGAAAAGAAATGCAGACAGCAGAGAAGGAATAAGAACAAAATGGTTAGGCATAACATCTTTTTGTAATACATTACTTAACAGATCTTGTATAAATGAATTGGGGCACATTCACAATAAAAAGGGTCCATGCTTTCTCCAGTGCACTTGTGTCACATTCCCAGAAGCTAAGGGGACGCCAAGCTTTGGAGCAGCACCTGCCACAGAGCCTCTTCTCAGGCTATTGCCCAAGGTGCAATAGCAGAATCTCCCACCCTGTGCAATCTTAGGGAGCTGTGCTCCGAGGGCAACTGCAAAACTCATACACAGAATGTACACTTAGATTTCTTGATTGATTGTGTTGAACTCAATGATGTATTTAAAAAATTTTTTTTAACCTCCAGTCACTTACAATACAACACACTTTTGTAATCACCTAAAAGCTTCAGCCTCTAGTTGTGTTTAAGAGAGAAGAGCTATTTCCTCAAAGACCTTAAAATGAAATTTTTAATGAATTGATTCTTAAAAATTGTGTGGGGTTGCCAGGGCCATTCAATAGGGAAAGGATGGTCTTTTCAAGAAATGATGCTAGAAAAATCGGATATCCACATGCAAAAGAATGAAGTTGGACCCTTACTTTACACCATATGCAAAAATTAACACAAAATGTATCAGAGACCCAAACACAAGAGCTAAAATTATAAAACTTTAGATGAAAACACAACGGAAGAGCCTCATGATATTGGATTTAGTAATATTTTGTTGGATATGACACCAGAAGAACAGGCAACCAAAGAAAAAATAGATATATTAGACTTTCTCAAAATTCAAAACTTCTGTGCATCAAAGGACACTACTGACTTAATGAAAAAGCAACTCACAGAATTCAAGAAAAATATTTGGAAATCATATCAGACTGGAACCCTATGCAATGCTGGTAGAAATATAAAATGGTGCAGCCACTGTGGAAAACATAGAAAAAAATTAAACATAGAATTACCATATCCAGGAATTCCGCTTCTGGGTACAAACCTAAAAGAATTGAAAACAGGAACTGAAACATTTGTACAACAATGTTGACAGAGCATTATTCAAAATAATCAAATGTGGAAATAATTCATATGTCCATCTAGGGATGATTGGATAAACAAAACACAGTACATTCACAAAATGGAATATTACTCACCTTTAAAAAAAAGGAATTCTGAAACATGCTATAACATAGAAGAACCTTGAAGATATTATGTAAAGTAAAACAGCCAGGCACAAAAGGACAAACATTACACAATTCCTCTTGTGTGTGCTACCTAGAGTAGTCAAATTCCTAGAGACAGAAAATAGAATAGTGGTTGCCAGGGGTTGAAGGAGGGAGGAAAGCAGAGTTAGCGTTTAATGGGTACAGAGTATCAGTTTGGAAAGATGAAAAAGTTCTGAAGATGGATAGTGGTGATGAGCACACAACAATGTGAATATACTTAATGCCACTGAATTGTACACTTAAAAATGGTTAAAATAGACATTTGTGGTAATATATACATATTACCACGGTAAAAAATTATGTAGTTAGCTGTGCTTCTAGAAGGTTTATCAATTTAATCTTAAATAGAAATTAGTTTACAAGTCCAAGTAAACTATGACTCTTTTTATCAAAAGAATTAAAAATATGCATAGAAAAAAGGCAATGTGGAAAGGGACATGAGGCAACGATGATTTTTTTCTAAAAGGTTATTTTCTACAGTGAATATATTTTTTAACGTAATAAAAAAATGACAAATGTAACGTTTCTGGTGTATATTCCTCAAATGCTTAATTATATAAATTAATATTTAATATATAAGTATATTTTTCCTCCATTAAAACGTTTTCACAAACCGTCATTTAAATCTTGACATTAAATGCAAATTTCAGTAGAAATCATTGAAAAGTCATTAACGCAAATTTCTTAAATTAAATCTCAGGAAAAACACGCCGGATAGTGAGAAAGACATAATAAGAGAAAGACTCCCCACAGAGAGTGGGGAGGTAAAAGCAGTTTCTACTTTCCGTCTTTCTTCCTTTTATTAAACAGTTTTTTCTGTAAGTAACCCGTTTTGTTGTGTTGAGGAAGGCTTGAGAGGGAGGAGGAATCCCCCACTGGGAAGACAGGAGAGGAGCGTTACACATGCCACGCCTTCTCTGGAGACCCCTCCCCACCTTCCGTCCCCTTTCCCTCCTCGCATTTGGGCCTCGACCATCGCGTCTCCTGTTTGGGGTATGCCATTCCACTCCAGATTCTTCCACCCACAAACCGGGAGATAAGGCGTCTGCCCGCGGGCTCTGCATGCTTCCACCTCGCCCCACCCCCCTGCAGTGGATTAAACAGGAATCACTAAACTAGATTATACTGTTTTCGGCCCTCCAGCAGTTTTAAACCAAAAACTCCAGGACTAAAGGACGCTGCGCTACGCTAGAAATCCACTTAACGCTCCCTGTAAGCTTCTTTTCTAGAACCAGACAGCAAGCGCAAGAATTCGGGGTAATTAGTTGATCCGAGACCCCAGGGAGCCGCCCAACCCCTGCTCAGCGCTGTCCAGGGCCCCCAGCGCGCCTGGCGGGTCGACTGAGGCCGGCGCCACCTGCCCGCGGACAAGCTGGGACCCAGGCTCATCACGCGCCAAGAGTCCCACGCCCGGAGGCCCCGCCCACAGGCCGGCGCAGCCAATCGCGGCGCGGGCAGCAGCTGGGGGCGGGGCCGGGCGAGCCAAATCCCGGGGCTTTTAATCAGCGGCCTCACGGCCGGAGCCAGACCGCGGAGACTCGCGGGCTCGTGGTTGGTTGTCGTGCTGCTCCGCGTACCACTGGTGAGCGCCCCAGGCCGAGTCCGGGCGCCGCGGGCCACCCCGGGAACCAGCGCGGCCTGCAGCTTTGGGGGTCGAGGGCTCTGGGGTCCAGGAGACGCCGTCCCTGGGCCTGGCCAGACTGGACACGGCAGCCCGACCCTGCACGCCGGGCTGCGGGCCCGCCACTCCCTGCGCCGCCGCCCACGTCCCCTGGAGCGGGGCGGCGTTTCCCCCGCCCGGTACACCTCCGGCCCGGCGCCGCCTGGTGCGCTGAGCTCCAGGAGTGCCTGGCCCTGTCCCGGCGCCGAAACGGGGGGCTCTGGGCTCCGTGGTGCCACGTCACCGCGTCCCCAGTTTGGGGAGGGAGTGGGGGTGTCGACTGCACAGGCCAAGTGTGGGGACGGTGGAGCGCGGGGGGGCACTTCTACCCACTTTGTACTGGGAGGGCCTCTCAGAAAGGTTTCAATTCAAGAGGCGGGGTTCGAAGGCGTATCTCACCCCCTGCCGTACAGTAGTCAAGAAGGAGGTGTGAGGTGGCCACTATCTGCTGGGGATCCCTGTCCCTGCTTGGGATCAGGTGTCCTCATTAGTGAGGTTTTCCTGGGTCACCTCTGTACCTTTTGTAAACACCTGGACCAACCATTTGCTAGGTTCCTAGTTGTAGCCTTAAGATTCTGACCCATAAGGGACCTTCACACCCTTCTCAAACCCTAAATTATAGCATATCGCAGCATCAAGTCCTAGAACACTTCTCTAGCTGCTTTTCATTTCAGTGGCTGAATCAAATACCTCCACCTAACCTGTTTTTCTCCACCCACATCCTCAGCTTTCCTCCACATTCTTGTGTAAATACTTGGGATGATAAATGTTTTACTCCAACATAGTGGCTATAACATCTCAGAAGAAAGTAGGATTGCTTTTTAGAAGGATTGGTCTAATTAAATACTCATTTCTTTTCCCTTCGTAGGTTTTTGAAACATGAATCCTTCACTCTTCCTGGCTGCCCTTTGCTTGGGAATAGCCTCAGCTGCTCCAAAACATGATCACAGTTTAGATGCACAATGGAGCCAGTGGAAGGCAACGCACAGAAGACTATATGGCGTGGTTGGTAACATCTGAAACTGTCCAGAGGGACCTCACAGAGAATGGTCTGTACTACTGGAAGTTTATAGCAGAGAGTAACTTCTTGAGCAGAGAGTAACTTCTTGAGGCCGGCTCTTACCAAGGCAATAACTTCATGGCACCCATTACTGAGCACAATATGGGCATGCATCATCCCTGTTGTGAGGGTGCTGGAGAACAGCTACCAGAAGTATAAAGCCATCCCTGGCCATGGTTTCTCTTCCTCTCTGTCTGCAAATCCACTTGGTGAGGATGGGTTGGGTTAAGTAGAAATAAAGATGTTCAGTTATATTTGCCTCTAGAATGAAGAAGGGTGGAGGAGAGCAGTGTGGGAGAAGAATATGAAAATGATTGAACTGCACAATTGGGAATACAGCCAAGGGAAACATGGCTTCACGATGGCAGTGAAGGCCTTTGGTGACATGGTGAGTGTGGCCTGGGTTGCTGAACTTCTTGTGCTTCCTCTCTTCAGTACTTTACCAAAATAACCTCTTGCTTTTCAAATTCTATTTCGTTTGCCTTGAAGACCAATGAAGAATTCAGGCAGGTGATGAATGGCCTTAAAAACCAGACGCACAAGAAGGGGAAAGTGTTTCAAAAACCGCTCTCTGCCAAGAACCCCGAATCTGTGGATTGGAGAGAGAAAGGCTCCGAACTCCTGTGAAGGATCAGGTATGACGATATTCAGCAGATCTCTCTCCAAGAGTAAAACCAAAAAGGAATTGGCGTTCCTGCTATGGTAGACTGTGGAACAACATGCAGCTCACTATTTTTTAAGAGTTTTCAGATGTGTGGACTGTTGTCAAGAACTTGCTATTTGATTTGTAGACTGAGAGCTTTTTAATTTTGTCTTCAGGGTCTTTGTGGTTCTTGTTGGGCTTTTAGTGCAACTGGTGCCCTTGAAGGACATACATTCTGGAAAACTGGCAGACTTGTTGCACTGAGTGAGCAGAACCTAATGGACTGCTCTTGGGCTCAAGGCAATGACGGCTCTTTTGGTGGCCTCATGGATAATGCCTTCTAGTACGTCAAAGACAATGGGGGCCTGGACTCGGAGGAATCCTATCCATATCTTGCGAGGGTAAGCGGAGCTCCTTATCTTGTTATCTTTCCAGCTCTGCCTTTGAAAGTTGAACACTTTCAGGGAAAACAGATTCCATGTTTAGAATTCACATTTTAGATTGTAGAATCTATATCTGCAAACTGTCAGAACTGTCATTAGAATATATTAGCCTTGCACAGTTCTCTGTTTAGATGGTTACTATATAGCTAGTTCTATTGCTATGTTACATGGAGATATAGGTACCATTCTATATATAGTTCAGATTTCTCCAGAGTGAAAAATTTCTTATGGACAGGTAAACTGAGAGTGTCTCGTTGAATAGACACCAGCTAATTTTTCAACTTCAAAACAACCAATAGCAAGCATTTCACCGCCTGGGATGCTTTATAACAAACTTGACTTGGGAATCATTAAGCTGCAAACTGTCTTGAACACATGTTCCAGGAGGTGGGGGTAGCAATGAAGTCTCGTCCCTTTTACCTTTGAAAGGAAGAATCCTGCAAATAACAAGCCTGACTATTCTGCTGCCAATGACACTGGCTTCCTGGACATCCAGAAGGAGAAGTTCCTTATGGAGGCAGTGGCAACTGTGGGGCCCGTCTCTGCTGGGATAGATGCCAGCCGGGATACCTTCCACTGCTATAAAGATGGTAAGCATTTGTCTCTGTAGAAAGTCAGATAGGAAAATTGGAAAACCACCAGCACAATTGACTCTTTGGTATGTAGAATTCAGTGTAGAATTTTTGAGTGTGTGGATTTAACATAGTCATTACTCTGTACATGTAATATTTGTACCTGATGTTTCCATGTGACATTACTTGAACCATATCCCTATGATTTTAAGCACTTCATAAGTATATTTAAATGGCTACATAATTTAATTGGTATAGCCTAATTTATTTTTTTTTCAATTGTTAGACCTTTAAAATTTTCCAAAGAATTTTACTACTGTGATTAAAACTAGAAGGATCTCCTTGGTTCAAGTAATTTTGTGTTCTGTTCTGTTTCCTTAGACTGACTTCCTAAAAGTAGAATGACAGGGTTTCAAGGAGTGGTTTTCTATGCCTCTTGACAAGTTGTTTACAAAAGAGATTGTGCCAATTTGTATTTCTGCTAGCATTAAATGAGGGCCTAAATCCCTAGCCTAGATTTAAAAAGATCTTGTTTGTAAATCTTACCTGGATTTATGTCGTTTAACTGAATTTTGAGATGCCTCCCTTACTGTGGTTGATAGGCTGGGTTAATGTCTCCTGTCACTTGGAGGTCCTCACCCCAGCATTGAATTTTGCTTTCCTAGGCATTTATTATGATCCAGCCTGCAGCAGGGAATATGTGAATCATGCCATTCTGGTGGTTGGCTATGGCTCTGAAGGAAAAGATTCAAATAATAAATATTGGCTTGTCAAGAACAGGTATAAAACTTCAAATGTTAAATTTATATTTTAAATAGAAAAGGAAATCCTTGTTTGGAATCAGTATTTGGATACAGGTCTTCGAACCCTTACGCACACTTCTGGAACCCCAGAAGACTTTATCTAACTTAGGGTGAACACACACATATTAATGATTGATTATGACATTAAGAGACTGTCTCAAGCATGCTAGGGTATTGATATAGTTTTGGTACCATTACATTTCTAAATTTGAACATCTGGACCCAAGAGTTTCCTTTCTCTGTCTCTAATTGTGCAGTTCTGTGAAAGGTCTGAGGATAGAAGTTATTTGCAGGTTTAGAACTCAACCACGAACAAGAACAGCAGCCTCCTGATTCTTTTCAAATCTGTCTTGGCCTCTGGTGTACTAAGTGTCAGGCGTTACTGTTGATAAAGATAAATGTTTGATTTTTTGTGTAAAATGGAAAACCCTTTCTTCGTTCAGCTGGGGTATAGGTTGGGGCATGAATGGCTACATAGAGATGGCCAAAGGCTGGAACAACCACTGTGGAATTGCCAACCTGGCCAGCTATCCTGTCACCTAGAGGACTTGACTGAGAACAGAATATCCAGAGGAGGAATTTTATGTTAAACTGACCAGACCTTATTGTGTGGAATAATACACTTGAATCAATGAAGATCCAAATTGTGATTTGAATGTTGTGACTTTTTTTGTGTGTGTGAGGAAGACCAGCCCTGAGCTAACATCCGATGCCGGTCCTCCTTTTTATTTGCTAAGGAAGATTGGCCCTGGGCTAACATCCGTGCCCATCTTCCTCTGCTTTATATGGGACACCGCCACAGCATGGCTTGACAAGCGGTGCATCAGCGCGCGCCTGGGATGCGAACCTGCTAACCCCCAGCCACTGAAGCGGAGCGCACGCACTTAACTGCTACGCCACCGGGCCAGCCCCTGAATGTTGTGACATTTTATGCTGGTAAAATGTTACCACTTCTTTAATTACTGCTGTAACAGCTTTATATGATTGACGTGCCTAATAACTTTTGAATTTTCGTGTTTTAAAGATGTATATAGTTTTACCTTGAGAAATAAAACTGAATTTCAAAGTAGAGGTGAGGCTTCTTTCTGTTTTTAATACATTAACTTTTTCTAGAGTCAAAAATGTAATTGGCCCTCACAGACGTAACTGAATGTGCCAGTGGTCCATTAGGATAATGACTAGGTGGTCTTCTGGCTCTTCTAGTTATAAATACTCAGATCTTATGTCAGCTGCCCATTGGCTGTGTCTGACTGAACCTTTTAATGAAGCGAAATTTGACAAACGATCTAAAAGGACAAAGGTAACGTATTTATTAAAATACTTTCACATTTTAGAAAAGTGAACACATGCATATGATTTCCAAACTAGAAAAGGTCATTAATAGATCATGATCATTTGAGCCAAGATGGTGACAACCCAGCCGAGTTACAGGACGAATGTCACAGAGCCAGTTTCTGGTGCATCTCCCCCAGCTGCTGGTGAAGACCAAATGGCTACTTTGCAGCTGGGGGAGGACCAGACATAGTGGATTGCCAAGAAATGTTTGTCTTTGGGTCCACAAAGGATAAAGGTTAAGCTCCTGGATTTCAGGCTGGGCTTCAAATATAGTGTTGTGGCCTCAGAGGTGGGAGACAGGTGAGAGTATCAAAAGTGATAGTCTGAGTCCAAATTTATACCTAGCTACCTAATCCCTGATTTTATTTAAAATAAAAACCAAAAAACTCCCTACATTCTGCAGACTAAAGCAGCACATATAGTTTCATTTGCTGTGTTTAAAATTCTCATGCTCTCACTCAAGGAAATATAAAGAGTAGATGGAAGTATTTAGTCAATAGACAGCATAATTCTTTATGAGGAGGTGAGGTGGAAGACAACTGGGGTCTCAGCCCACAAGGCCTCCAGAAGCCTCTGGTCAAGTCCATCTGTATTGGACCATCTGCCATGCTGGACCCTCAGTGTGGCCTTTCCCTTGTAGGTGCTTAAATTTCCAACTTTTTCACCTAAAATGGCAAATATGTTTGGAGTGCGAGTCTGTGGGCTTTGTGATAGTACTATCAAGTGTAGTCGCAGGAAGATTTGGGAGGCTCCCCCGCTGAATCCCTTCCTCCGCTTGGGACCTACATTGAAACAGCTGGGATTGATGTCGCCCCCACTGTGTCCCAGTCATCACCTTGTGGAGGAGATATTCCCACCCTCAAGAACGAGCTGGTGCTGTCGGAGAGGGAGGTAGTTGAGAACACCAGGAGGAAGAGAAACCTGACATGAACCCAGAGGAGCCAGTCAATAAGACAGGATAAAAGGGTAGATGTCTGAGCACAGACTTTGGGGTCAGGACCCCTGAGAAAAGAGGCACTGCATTTAGAGAAAGTGGGAAATTAGTGAATTCAGGTGTGGGAGGTGAGGCTGGGTCCACACATGGGTTTTTAGGACACAGGGAAACCTGTGCACACAGGGGAGTGCAGTGAAAGACTGCTCTGGCTATCTATTCCTGTAAAACAAACTATTCAGAAACGTAGCAGCTTGAAAACACTATCTTTCTTTCCTATTTCCTGATTGACCTTAGCTGCATAGTTTTCTTTTGGAAATCTCTCATGTGTGCTGGAATCATCTGTAGGTTTGACTGGGCTGGCATCCAAGGGGGCTCACCTCATGGCTGTCTTAGATGCTGGTGTGGGCTGGACGTTCAGCCTGGGCTGCTGGCCAGAGTGCCTCCGTGGACTTCTCCATGACTTGGGCTCCCACAGCTTGAAGGCTGGCTCTGAGAGGAACTGCCCCGGAGAAAAGTGTGCCAGAACCCCCAACGAGGAACTGTAAGTCTTCCTATGACCTGGCCTTAGTCCCCAATGAAACCTCTGCTGCTGCACTGTATTTGGAGCACGTCACCAGGGACAGACCAGGTTCCAGCGGAGGGGGCCAAGTCCACCTCACGATGGGAAGAGACAAGGTCACTTAACAGAAGAGCATGTGCGATGCAAGATGTGCTTGTGGCCGTCATTGGAAAATGCAATCTGCCACATTCAGTCTCTGAAAATCTACTAGAAAGGACTCCTTTGTGACTATCCTCTGGCTCCATCGTGACAGGCTAGCTCAGACTGCTGTCCACAGAATCCTGGAAGTTCAGCCGAAGACTCTAAGAAAATGTCTCAGTGCTGATATGAATGGAAATGTGAAGATCTCTCAGATGTCTAAACAAATAAACAGATAGTAGAAGTTTCTGTAAATGTCAAAGACATTTATATTAATTTAAACTTGTGAAAAGTTCCAAACTGCATCTATCATAAAAATATTTTTAAAATAAGCCAATCAATATGAAATAAAGCTGCAAATGAATTTTGATTTTACAGGAGCCTTCTCTGAAACTTAAACTTACTGTTTAAGTTTCCCTTAAACAGTAGGCTCCCCCCAGAGCCCTTGGAGGGAATGTAGCCCTGCAGACACTTTGGTTTGGAATTCTGGCCTCCAGACTGCGAGAGAATAAATTTCTGTGACTTTAAGCCAATGAGTTGGTGTTAATACATTACGCCAGCCCCAGGATACTGTTGCACCTGGTCTACACAGATAACCTCATGCTCTCCTCAGCAACCCAGAAGGCACAACCAGACTCCTCTGGTCAAGACCAGCTGGGACAAGTCAAACTTGCTGCACGTCCAGATGGGACAAGTAAGAAATCTGTGAACTTAATGGTTCTTGGCCACTCATCTGTGCTTCAAGACCGAGTTTTATTCTGACAAGTTTTCACTGAGTTTTTTAGGGTTCCACTAAGCTCAACAAAATGCTCCAGTCCACAAGGAAATCAGCCGACGAAGATAAGAGAAGTTTAAGGAACCCAAATGGCATAGTAGGGGCATCACCAGTAGCAGTGGACTTAGCAGAAAAAAGACATGAGAAGGTTTCGGCATCTTTTCACTTCCCCACATGTCCCCTCTCATCTAAGTCAAGCACTGGCCAGGGTTCCATACTGGAGACTGTCGATATCTTATAAAAAGGCATTCTCACACATTAAAATGCACCTAAAACACACTTTGCTTCCTTCTCTTTTTATTTAACTTGGTGATAATTAATGTATTCTTTAGTCTCTGGCACCACTTTCACTTGATGACATCAAATGTTTCCTGTTCTTTTCTGCAAGGAAGAAAATGTCATATGAAAGATATGAAGGAAATGTGGGAGATGATGCAAATAAGATATTGAGTGACATCAGCGTCATGGCAGAGTGAGCTTCCCCCATTGAACTCTCCCCCTCTAAGACACAAGAAAAAGGACATTCATATTCCAGCAGAAGCTATTCACACAACACAGGGGACGTCTGAGGCACCCAGGCAGCCGTACACCCAAGGACGGAGGTGCTGGAATCCCCAGAGTAAGTGGAAGGAGGTAAGAGGAGCTCCCTTCCTTCCCCAAGGACTGCGACCCAGAGACTGAGACCATGCGGCTCTCAGAGGAGGGGGAGGGGCGGCTTGCCACGTGAAAAATGGTGCTCTCCAAGACCCCTCACAGCCTGAGGGGATCCCCCTACGGAGGGAGCGGAACTTTTGCGAGGGTAGTTTCAACAATCTGGCCCCTCAGGAGAGCAGAGAGCGACAGCGAGGCTAGAAACCTCTGAGATCAGAGAGGCGAAAGTAAGCACCCTCCCCAACCCAGCTCACCTGACTGGTGCTTCAGCACAGCGGTGCTTCAGCTCAGCCCCATCCCCAGAGGCAGCAGCCCTCAGGCACCCGGGACCCACCAGCAGGGGCAGCATGACCACACCCCACCCCCACAGGCAGCAGCTCTCAGGTGCCTGGGCCCAGCCAGCATCAGGGCGAGCCTGCACCCTCGCACCAGAGGCAGTGGGCAGCTCAGGCCCCACCATGCCACAGCCCCACCTGCTCTGGCTGGAGCAAGCCACGGCCCCAGCTGCCCCAGCTCCACCAGGCCACAGCCCCAGCTCCTTCAGCTGGACCATGCCCCACCCCCAGCTCCTTCAGCTTGACTGCCCCCCCTCCCCATGGCTCCAGCTGCTTTGGCTTGGCCTGTGCTCAGGCTCCAGCTGACTTGGCACCAGTAATTTCGGCCCACCGCACTCCAGTTCCACTTCTTTGGCCCAGCGGCACTCCAGCTCTTCCTTCTTTGGCCCAGCATACTCCAGTTCCAGCTTCTTTGGCCCAGCATACCCCAGTTCCAGCTTCTTTGGCCCAGTGCACTCCACTTCCAGCTCCTTTGGCCCAGCAGCACTCCAGCTCCTCCTTCTTCGGCTCAGCACACTCCAGTTCCAGCTTCTTTGGCCCAGCAGCGCTCCAGTTCCTGCTTCTTTGGCCCAGCAGCACTTCGGCGGCAGCTGGTTCAACCCACCCGCACCCGAGCCCCAGCTGCTTCCGCCTAGCTGCGCTCCAGTCTCAGCTGTTCCCACACTCCAGCTCCAGCTGTTCCCACACTTCCCTCCCAGCAGCTCCCACTGAGCCACGCCTCAGATCAGCCAGGGGCCAACAAGTGTGCCTGCGGATTGAGGCGGGCCAAAATAGACAGCCCTTGACCCCCACCCAGCGGCAGCAAGAGGAAACTGCGACCATATATTTTCACTATGAGGAAAAGTAAGCCAACACCGACAGGCACCATGCAAAAATATATTAAATCTCCACACCAAAAGGAAAATGACAAGCACCCAGAAGTCAACCCAGAAAGCACAGAAATG